GTCGCGCAGCCGAGATCCTTAACAGCTAGCGTTTCCCTCCTTTGTGATTCATCACTTTTAGGTATGCCTTCATCGCTTTTGGGGTTGCTCGTTCTTTTTATCTTCGTCGCCGTAATACGCCGCTACTCCCACTAGCGCCGCACCTCTTAGCAACCAATGTTTCCAGAACGGAATGTCGGCGCTCCTCTGCTCATCGCCCTGCGTGAATCAATGCAAGCCGCAAACGTGGCACGATAAGCTAGCTATGTCTACATACCTTAAAACAAGAAAATAGTTCGGGAAAAATTCGTGCATCATGATGAACATATATATATATATATATATGTGTGTGTGTATGTATGTAATGGAACTAATGACTTAAATACAACAAACAAAAGTATGTGTATAAGTATATATATCCAAATGGTGGAGTACTTTACCATGCTGCTGGCTTCTGGACTTGATCGCAATGCTCAAAGGATGGCGGAACTTGCGTGCACTTGCTATATACGGTAGTATATATCTTTGAGTTATGGGTGCCCGCACACATGTATTTATATATACACATAGATATAGGTATAGATGGTCATATCTGGTCCGTGCAAACTTGGGCCGCTGTTTATGCGTGAGACTTGGGAAAGTTACCTTGGAAGATGCCCTGATGCTAGTGGACATGGGAACACACATAAAGTAAAGCATTTTGGGCGGCGGGCCGGCTGCCTTTAACTAGCATCTCGGGCGTATATGATTCCTGGCTTGTATAGATTTTCCACTACAAAAGGAATCATATCCTCTGCTTTGCGTGGAAGGCCAAACGGCATCATTCTATGTGTTAGGGCTGATCACCGATGGGATAGATCCTCGGAGTAGGCTTGCTAATAATGGGGATGAGCCCATCCCAAACCCATATAGGGTGCGTTTGGTAGAGCTTCTCTGCCAGCTTCAGAAAGCTGTTTTCAGCTTCTCCAACCAAACGGGTCCGAATGAAACAGCTTTTCCCTCGAAGCTGTTTTTCAGCTCCCTCTCACATGCACAGTTTTCTAGGTAAAACTAAAAATACTAGCTTCTCTCAGCTATCTTCCCTGAAAAGCTATTTTACCAAACATTTATGAAAATAGATTCAACTCTACCGGTAAAGGTGTTTTTGGAGCCAAAACCAACAAAAGCTGATTCACTAGTGAAGCTGAGCTATACCAAACAGACCCATACTATGAGGATGATACCATAGTCCCCCCCCCCCATCACACAGACACCCAAAAAAATGAACCAAACGACATGCCCCAACCTACTTGCCATGCAATGGTACGTTGAACCCGTCGGTACCAGGTTCCCAACCAAGAACCGGGAGCAGTGGCACTCACCAAGCTATGGCGCCAGGAGGCTGAGGAGGGGAGGGAGGATGCATATGTGACAAGTGGCATCGTTGTGCTTGGCCGGCCCGCCCCACCCACCCCTCCGTTCGTGATGCACCTAGCGAAGCCACCGCAACTGCAACCCTCGTTGTTGCTAGAGATCCAGTACCGCAACATGCATAGGCAGCCATCAGCGAACTAAGCCTTCAAGAACCGAGACCTAGCCAAGAAAACATTGATCTGGCTCGACACCGTCAAATCCATGAAGGTTGCTGCACACGCCTACATACAATGCCACCTCTTGATTTCTCTGTGCACCCATTGCCCGTACCAATTTCCCAAGTGCCACATCCCCCATGCCACGTCATAGGCCCCCTCTGCCGCAACCGTAGCCCTCATGGTGGCTGAAATCCCTATAAGTTTGTTTTCGATAATTGAATGACAACTAATGAACTAATGCCTTCAATGAGTTGTGTGATTAAACTAGGTCCACATGAGGTGTGGTGAGCAAGGATAAGAGATGGTGGAGATGATGTTCATGCCATATGGAGCAAGGCTCACACTTGGAGCGAAGAAGAGGAGATGAAAACAAGCCTGAAGGCAAAGTTATATGCTAGGTTTTCATTTTGCTGGCCGAGATGCAATAGAGTGCATGGTTAGTTTTAGGATAATTAGTCATACTATTAAGAGCGGAACTCAGCAAAATAGTTATCTAGTGCCACTAGATTTGAACTAACTTTGCATATGCATTGGACCTTGTGACGTTGTGAGGAACCAAATGAAAAATGTTTTTGAAAAGCTAACTCAGTGCCTAGGGTGAAAGAGTTCATGTTGGAACACATTGGAGTTAGCAAATTTGAAACGCTTGTGAAGTTTGTGACTTGGTGCAGTTTTTCTACACCCACCGGAAATGTCTGTTGCCCTTGGTTGGGAGGTCACCAGAAGATAGGATGCGTAGTGAGGACTTAGCAGAGAGTTGGGGTACTCACTGGAAATCTCTTGTGCTACGCCCAATAACAGCACTAGAACAAATGGTTAAAAGAGCAGTCCATGGGAGCTGTTAAACTAGGCACCAGAGTTCCGGTGCATGGTCACCAGAGTTTTCTGGTGAACCCCTTGAACTCTCGATGTAACTCACTCGAGAGGCTTTAGGCACACCGGATATGTCCAGTGCCCCTCACCGTAGAGGCACCAGAGTAAAGTGAATAGAGCCGTTGGAGGCCCCGACGTCTAGTTGTCACGGACCAAGGCTCTGGGTAGCCACCGAGAATCTCCGGTGGTTGCACCAAAAGCCGCACCGGAGATAGCGCTCATTGATTTAAATCAAGATCAATTCTCAGCCATCGGATCTTTCTAAAGGTTACTCCGGTGGGTGTTCTTCGGTGGTCACAGGAGATTTCCGATGACCCTAAAAACAGCCCACTAGTAGCACATAACGGCTAATTTTTGATGGGGCTTATAAATAGGGGGTGGTCAGCAGTTGGGCATTTTCTTGGCTTTCCAACTGATCACACATTCCCTTGAGCTCTTGAGAACACCTCCCACTAACTCTCTATCTTGAAGATTGATCCAAAGTGACATTGGGGAGAGATCTAGCGCATTTGCATAGAGAGTTTACATCTAGTGGCACTAGTCCATCGTTGGGCTGTGGATTTCTTGTTACTCTTGGTAATTTGAGCCACCTAGATGGCTTTGAGTAGTGAGGATTGTGAGCACTGTGTTGGTACTTGTTCGGTGGCTCGAACCGAGTTTATTGTGAGGGGTTTTGAGCCCACCTCGCAAGAGATCACAAAGTGTTACTCTATTGGAATACTCGATGGAAGTCGAGTGGTCTTTGTTGATTGGATTCTTGCGACATCCAAGTTGAGGGTCAAGCTTGAGAGTCTTGTTCATGCACGAATCCATCACCTAGAGACTCACCGCAATGTGGACATACGTTACCGGGAAGCAACTGAACCTTGAGGATAAATCTTGTGTAATCTCTTGCCCCAATTGGTTTGCGAACTCTACACTAGTGCACTACTTTCATATACTTGCTTGCGTGGTAGTTGCTTGTAGTAGTAGCCCTCTTGTTGTAGTCGTAGCTTCAGGCTGTGTTTGATTCGGCTTGTGAAAAGTGCTTCTGCTACCAAAAACAGAAAACTAACCTAATGGGTGGAACCAGAAGCTGCTTTTTTAGAACCGACTACTTTCGTGTAGTACATTTTTTGTTGCACCTTGAACCCTGCTTTTATCTTTCAAATATCCACTTTTCTAAATGAGTGTACATATAGAGAAATTTCACAACTGTTTCAAGAAAGATAGATAGATAGATGGGATATGTTTCATAGCTATTTTAACCAAACAGTTTACAACTTTTCCACAGCACATAGCTCACAATAGCTTTTCCATAGCTCACAACTAACAACAGCTGTTTCATAGATCACAACTAAACCAAACAGAGTAGTGCTTGCCTCTTTGCTTGCTTGAGTGCACTAGCAGTAGAAGTAACTTGCTACTAAAATATTTTTAATTGGCTACACACCCCCTCTAGCCATATAGATCCTCAAGTGGTATCAGAGTCAACTCACCATTGATTTGCAAGGTATAACCACCTACAATGTTAAAGATGACAACCAATCATGTCGGCAAGCCACCACACTTTGATGAAATAAATTATGATTATTGGAAGAGGCTCATTCTCACATGAACAAGAGGGATTGGCTCATTCCCATAGGAACTCACGGTCAGGTATGGCATTGATCCGACAATGATATCATAAGTGTCACTGCCGGTTTAAAGCATAATCCGATAGTGATATCTTAAGTTTTACTGCCGGATGATGTATTAAACCGCCAGTGACACTCAAGATGTCACTGTTTGGTTATGTTTTAATCTAGCAGTGACACACAAGATATCACTGACATGTTATATTTTAAACCGATAGCAACACTTACCACATAATTGCCAGATCAAGCGTCATTCCGGCAGTGACACTCATGGATATCACTATCGATTCATGCTTTGACCCGGTTGTGGTAGCGTATTATCACTATCTGGACATCAATTAACAGGCATCGATAGGCCACCCGCATATTGTTGATTATCCTCTGCCAGAGTGTTGGTGAAAGGGGTAATGTGGGGTAATGTGGTGAAAGGGGTAACCTGACCACTGTAAGAACAAGATCTTGTTGGTGCTAGAAATAAAGCAAGTTGACCTCTGATATCCGTGGCTCAAGATCCGAGTTCTTGTTGAGTTCTTGTTTGGTTTGGTTTTTCCTCTCCTGAAGCCCCTTCTCTTGCATTTTGGGTGATTTTGTTTTTTCCTGAGATTTGAGATCGATTGGGGTGGCTAGAAATGTGCAAGGACCTTAGAGGAACATGTCTACCAACTCGTTTGGTCAGATTCCTTACGAGCGCGATTTGGCCGGCTTTTGAGAAAAGTTAAGAAAACCCCTACCTGCTCCGGGAGAGTCTCGATTTATGGAGTTGCCTTGATCTTTTGGGGATAGTTTCTAAACTTCTTTTGGAACATCTCCACAAATTTTGAGCTCAATCGGAGTTCGTTTGATCGAGTTTTGGCTTCTTCTTTGTTGGCCCAGGCTGCTGAAAATAGGCTGCGCAGAAGTTCCATGCCAGCTTCCGTGCCTGAACAAGGAAGTTCCGCGTTCGCGCACTAAACTTCCGCGTTCAAGCGCTGAAGTTCCGCGGTCTGGGAGCTAATAATTGACCTCTGGTGGTTCCGAGGTGTTTCCTTGATCTGCTCTTGCTTCCGCTTGTTCTGTGGGCGTCCAGCAGTGCCCATGAACTTTTTCCAGTCCTCAAGTCACCAGTTGGCTTAGAGGATTTTGAGTCAACTCTTGCTTCATTATGATTGAAGTTCAGAGCTCCGTTTTTGGGTTTTGGAGTGTTTTGGCGTTGAGCTTGGTTTTCTGCTGTTGTGAGTGTCCTGCTGTGTTCTTCGATCATCATTGAGAACATCGAGCCACCAGTCCAACAGTAAAAACACTGCTCAGCAGTCAGCCCCTAAACCATGCCAGTATGATTCACGATGAAGAATGCACACAACATAATTGACGTTTGACAAAGTTCAGCACGAGCACGTTATAAAATAATAGTTGTTACATCGAACAAGCAAATCAAGCTAAGCACACATGTCCTGAAAACATGAATGAAGGAATTAAAGGTATGAAATCAATCGGCACACAGCTGAGAAAGAAATGCGAAAACAAGCACGAAGTTTCAAACAGACGAAGCAATCCAGCAATACTACTGCAACAGCTCTCAGACTTTGGTCGATTACGAAGAAATCTCCTCGGTTATTATGTGGTCGACGTCAATTTCTGGCCTGGCGGATGCACGAGCAGCACTCTCTTTTCGTTCCTTTTCTCTGATTGCTTCTTCTTCTTCCTCCTGTTCTTTTCTTCTTTCTTCATCCCCTGGAGGCTCTGTCATGATGATCTTGTCAGCCAATGTCTCCAGCCCCATGGCTGACCAAAGCAGCCAGACATAGTTGAGGAACTCCCCACCATGTCCCAGGCTTCTGGCGTGCAGGTAACCTGAGCAACGGGCCGCGGAGAAGCAGAGCATCTCAACCCATACACCATCTATCACTTGCCACCTGTCATCTGCCCCGAGGGCCCCGAGTGCCTCAGCGATCTTCTTCGCATGAATCAGCAGATGGCTGAACTTGTTGTCACCTTGCTTCGACGGTGGTAATATATCCTCGATGACACGCTGAGCTATACCTTGCGCCTTAGTCATGGGGACACCACCTTTGCTGTCACTTTTCTCCAAGATGTTTGCGATGTGGTCGCTGGCTATGTTGAAGAGACCCGACCTGGCACCGGGCACCAGCATCTCAGGACGGATGAAGAGCAGGTAGGCCATGTACTTGGATATCTTCCTTGAGAGATAAGCGTTGTGCTGCCGAGTCTTGTTGGTGCATGAGCCTTCATCTCCTGCTGCTGCTGCTGTTAACATAGATTTATCCTCGCAGTAGCATAGATCCGTGGCCACATGCCACATGAGGACACTTTCGTCGAATGGCGCCATTAAGCTTGAGGCCAGATCACTCACATGGCCAGTAGTGTCCATCTTGTGTTTGTACTTGTTAAGTGTCCACTGTCCTCTGAGATTGTTGAATCCCCTGTAAGAGATAGGGCCATAGATGTAGCTGTTCCACCCATCCTTGACGTGCTTGCGCACACGGTCAGTGATGTCTCTGGCTGCAGGCTCCTGCTTGACATGCCAATGCTTAATGACGTACTCCCGTAAGTGGTAGGGCCATATGAACCTCCCAGTGGCCTCCTGGCAGGCACAGAATGACATGAGGCTGCCCTGGGAAACCATTTCATGCCAATTGGCACGGAACATGCGATAGAAGGGCACAAAGGGGAAGAACTCATGCATAGCAGTGAAGCAGAAGAGCATGTATGTGACCCAGACGTCATTCACGTCGTAGCCACCCTTGTGGCTCTTGGCGAAAAGCACCACTGACGTCAGGGTCAGGAACGGGAGCGACAGCTGCAGGCATGCGCCGAGCAGAGTTAGGGTTACCCGCCGTTTGGTGTAGAGGATCAGGAATGTGCTGTAGATGCACTCCTGAAGCAGCTTGTATGAGTCCGAGTGGCTGAACAGGAAGAAGAACTTCAACTCTTGGAGCCGATCGGAATACGGACGAGGCACGTTCACAAACATCTTGTATAGGAAACTGACAGGTGTGAAAACAATTCGCTCCTTGATTTGTTCACTCTTCTCGGCCCTGTCATGGTGCCACCTTGCGCTTCTTACGAATTCTCCAAGAGAAGTCACATCTCGTCCGACTTCCACGTTTCTCCAATCTGATTCTTCGTCTTTTTCAATGTGATCTACCCCTAATTCTCCTTCTGCTCCTGCTGCTGCAGCTGATGGCTCTTGGGGATAACTTTTTGTATGGGAAAAAAACTCGTCCATTTTATCTGGACTGATAATATCCATAAAATAGGTAGTGCACCATCTCCAGCACCAACCAATCCGTCCTTCCTTCTCCACCCTTCTTTCCATCAGCAAAGCTGCGGAGGCCAGCATGTTGTTGAAGCTAGCTCGCTTGAGGGACCATGGCTTGTAGCTGAACTTGATGATGCCAACGACGAAGAGCAGGACCGCCGCATTTAGCAGCTGCCTCTCGCCCGACCACCAGTTGCAGAAGACGTACAGAGCGACCGCCACCTGGGAAATTACAGAAATATATATGCTGTGAATGTGATGAGTTACAAAAATAACACCTTATCATCGTCCAACCGTGAGGCGACTTTGGAAAGTCATTTTCTCCATCGGAGAACGACGAGATTAGCAAAGGTCATCTATGTACCCAGAGAACGAAGATTATTACTAACGTCGTTTCCCGGTAGAACGATTCTATTTTTGCACAAAGGGAAAACAGTTTTAGTAAATCGTCTACCCAGGAGGCAATACTGAGATATCGTTCAACGACTTTGAGTTCCTCCAGCCATTACCAATATAATGGTTTATAGAATTTCAAGCTTGTTTGAGCAATAATCGAAATATGTGTTAAGAGAAAATAGAGAAATATTTCATTGTACTATAAAGTTGTGTGCCCGTATTTGGCAGCAGTGTTACATTAGCACAAATATAACATTATGGCGTGTCAAACTCGATGGAGCATTGCCTCCGATCCATTTTGAACGTCGACAAACCAAAATAAATTTTAGAATAGAAAACTATATTACAGTACTTGTGCATTTTAGTTGAACCTCATGTTTGCCCCCCAGCTTCTGTACATAAAATTAAACAGAAAATAACAATTTGCAACGGCATGTGCAGAACCCTACATTACTAAGGTAGAAGCACTTTTGTTAATCCTAACATGCAGGTGCCTTAGTTCCAAGAGTTTAAATTACTGGATATAGTGTTAAATCTACTGGGTGCACACAGTAGCTGCACCCCAAACAAACACTTCTCTTCCAAACTAAGGATGCCCTCAGCATGCGTCCCCTGATTCATTTTTAGATAATGGATAAAACAAATATCCGGCCTCTACATCCAAGGATGTACACGATATACACCCAAAGCATTCCTCTAGTTGTCGCCATTTCTTCCACGTGACATCATTCAATTCCAAACTAAAATCAATTGGCTTAACGGGAAATAGATTTCATAAGATCGTATAAAACCTAAACGGTATGATGAATCCACCATTGCAATCAAACATGCTCTATATATAATCACGACTTTTGGAAGTCACCGACCTTATTTTAGGCATGTCGGCCACCCATTGGACAAAAGCTAAAGTTATTTCCTAGGAAAACGATTCGTCATTTTCGTTGTACAATAGTGCGATTTGTAGATCAAAGATTGATATCTCAATTTCGTTCCATGGAAGAACGACATGGTATTTTCCTTTTGTAAATCTGCTGGTCTGAGAAATATTTATGTAATATAATGTCTGTTTAAAAAGTAGTAATAAAAAGATAAAACAAATCTGACCTGGGAGACCAGGGTCATGGCGTGCCGCTTCCACAGCTCGTTGTCCTCCAAGCTGTAGGCGCTCATTGTCGTCTGCCCGCCGAGGTGGATGAGGAGGACCGGCGCCCAGAGCACCTCCAGGTCGCTACTGCCGCCGCCCTGGCCACAAGCCGACCGCTGCCTCTGGCGGTTGAAGAGAGTAGCCAGGGCGTAGATCGCCAGGGCATCCCCGCCTACATACGCCGACCACACCAGGAACCTCAAGTTGCGCAGCTTAGGAGACCTGTGCACCGAATAGGCGAAGTAGAGGCTGATGTAGACAAAGAGGCTGCCGAGCACCAGAACTCGCATCTGCCACTCCTCCCACCAATGCACAGCATGGGAGAGACTCATGCTTGGCTTGCGGTGATGTTGTTCTCTCTCGCGCGCCGGCCTCGGGCACGAGCTCTGCCCTTTCTCGTGCTGGCTACAATAAGCCCCAAGGCGTACGTCAGCATGCAAACGACAACAAGCGCTTGCCTTGTCTATATATATGTGTAAAATATTTTAATTATTATTAATTAGTTTTCAAGGTGCGGGCCGGTATACGTTAGCATTAGTTACTGACACACGATATAAATGGTGATTCTTAGGCACCAACAGCCATCAACGGGTGCTCATACTATACATGACCTAGTATAATCTCAGCACCATAAATAAAGGTGGCATAAACATTAGAAGTGGGTGTTTAATACCTACAGCTAATAAATAATAACTTATCATTTTTTGCACTCCCTGTGTTCATTTTCTAACCTATATATTAAAAGAAAATATTTTCCATGTTTGATGAAACATAACGTATATATTTATTGTTCATAAAAGCATGTTTACTTAAGTCAATTTTTAATATTTGCTATTATTAGAAGTAGGTAGTGTAGAAATATATGTGATTTAAACATTTCTTCTATATGATATATATGGCGTTGATAATTTAGATGCAGATTTGAGTGGATATTTTAGTTTTCTTAATCATGTCAGAAATGGTAATTTAGATGCAAATATAATTTAAGGGATTATGTAGATTGTCCATCATAACTAATATGGAGGCTCTAATTAATAATAGTAAGATTGGGTGTATCTTAAAACAGCTAAGTAAACAAGCAAGAGCAGAAATCACATGTTGTCTCCCATTAACCTAACTTTTGCTTGTTCCTTGCGTGCCGTAATCATTGAAGGTCCACGTCTTTAATTACCTTTTTCTTTAAGAGATTCTTGAGCCCTATACTTTTTTTGTACAGCACTTTCTGACGCTTTAATTTTGATAAAGACGAACATATCTTGTCTGTTACATATTCCATAAGATTATTACGTTCCGCATGGTAAACGAGACCCGCACTTCTGGTTGCAATAATAATCAGTTGAAAATGGACAAATAGTTTGAATCTTTTGAAAATATAAATATAAAAGCTTTCACTACTGTTTTGCATCGAAGTCCTTCTACTGTTTTGCATTGGATGGGTAACGTAGCACTCCATCATCTTTCTTTCGCTCATCCAAAGCCCACCAGTGCATTAGCTATGAGTCCCTGGGGTTTGAGAACAAACGCCTCAAGCGATTGATCGGTGATAGGTACGGTACCATATAACCAATGTGGGGATTCTTTACGCCTCAAGCAACGGACAATGCGCTACGCCCATTTGAAGTCCTGGCCGGTTCTCGTGCGCAAGGCCTCCTAGCGGACCGACCGTGGTAACTGGCGGTCCCACCGTGAGGGACTGGCTTGTGGCCCCGAGGCCCAAAAGCCTCTGCCGCTTGATCCGTTGGATAAAGCCTACCAACACCGGACTAGTCCGGTCCTGGCAGTCCGATTGCCCTTCTGGCTGGTGCAGCCGTGACGATCAGCAGCAACCTGTCTTCTTGCCTACACCTTCTACTTTACATCTTTTTGTTTCGGGTTTTTTCATCTTTAAGTCTTAGACTCCTAGCTCCAATTTTAGGTTTTCAACAAGGGCTTCAATTATCTTGCTTGAGGTGTTGATCATCCAGTTCATAACTCTGCCTTGGTCCAAGTCCACTTTGTATCTTACAGTAGTGTATCACATATGCTAGCAAACAATATTAGTCCAAATGGTCATGTTGATCATCAAACACCAAAATCGAAACTTAATGGCCCATAGGGTCCATTTTCCTTACTTGAATCAAACTGAAGCTTGATTGCCCAACATTCATATCAAGAAGATATTCAAGCAAGGATCACAATACTGAAGATATGATTTTCAATGTTGGTTCAAAATATTATGTGACTTGATGACTCGATAAGGGGAAGATAGCAAGGAAAGGGCTTCGATGGACTAAGCGAAGGTGAAGGGCAAGCGACGACTTGGCGAACGAGGTATTGTGGCTAAGGTGAAGAAGAGAGGACTTGCATTGAGGCGAAGTACTAATCAAGCTATGAGAAGTTATATTGTGTTTCGGATCAAATCATTAGTGAAAGTGACTTGAAGCCATGAATTGAACTCATATGTGTTGAAATGGTTCAAATCACATGCTCAAAGAAATGAGACAAAAATGATTGGAACCCCTTATGAAGAGATATTGAGAAGAAATAGCTATCATATGAAGACATTGAAGACTCAAGTGGTTGAAATGGTTGTATTCTCTTGATCTTAAGTATAGGTATGTTGTACCATCAAGGAGGGTGCAACACTAATCATACACAAATCTCGAGTGCATGCAATATACTCAATTCCTCTTCAACACTTAGCAAACTTGTTAGATCTTTAATTGTTTTGTCACTCAATCCACCGAAACCCGCTAAAGGGCTAGATTCACTATCAAGCATCTCCAACAACACCAATCGCGCTACCTCCCCTAGACTCCTAGGACACCCCCGCTCGACGAGCTCGATGCACTGCTCGAGTTGTCCGAGGAACACTTGCTCCCAGAAGGACTCGTTGGGCGAGGCCGAAGGTCCACTGGGCTCGCCTCGCGGGGACGTGCCCTAGACTCAATGCTGACCTCCCCACTGTTCGATGAGCTGTCCAAGATGGAAATATAGGCCTTCTCCACCCGCATCACCTTCACGGGACACGCCGGAACAACCTCCGACGCCCGCCGCTTCCTCGCAACGGACTGTGTCGGCCTCTTCGCATGCATCTTGCCCTTCCCATCACATAAGCCATATGGCTTCCCACCATCCTTGACAGATCTGTCTTCAGCCGAGGCTCCCGTCTCCTTCGGCCAATCAGGTTACTCAACACCTAGAAGATCGAATATTCGATTTAGGCTTCACCGATCAGGAAGCTTCGACCACATATTCCGCACCACAGGGGTGGTCATCTCCGCAACAAGCTCTGCAGTCCCCTATTGAACAAGGGCCATGACCTTCTTCAAGCCCGCCTCCAGGCACATGACAAATAAACAGCATCCCACCATGCCCACAAAAATCGATATCCGGGCACTTGATTCCGTAATCCCTATACCTTTCCTCTGTCACAGCGAACCAAGCCATAGGAGCCTGCAGCGGCACGACCCACGCATAAACAAATTCTTCAGACAAGTCCCGTGCGCATTGGTACTGCGACAACCATCGCACTGCTTCTTCCATGCCACGAGAAGTCTGAGTAACTATGGGCTCAGCTAGTACCTCACCAAGGGGGGCCAGCTCACCAACAAGACTGGTATGATCCTCACTCAAACCCCCGCCTTGTGGTTTGCTATTTCACCTTGTAATAGAACCAGTGCCTGTGCCACTACTCCGTCCACTTGTTCCTCTGGGTCTGAACTAGAAAAACAGTGCCACCCTTATAGCGCAAGGTATAGCAGGCAAATGGTAAGTGAGCGCCTCATCGTAAACGGTACCCTTTCTGCCCTGATAATGCATACTGTGCAGGTGCACAAAAGCGTTGATATCCACGGGCACTCCTTGTGACCGACAGGCCCACACAACCACCCTATAATGAATTTAAATCATGTTTGTTTTCACCTCCACCGCAATCGGATCCCGTGTAATCAGTTACCGCACCATACAAATTTGATACCCCTGTCACCCTTGCGTAGACCATCGTCTTCGTCGTGGCTCTCAGCCATAGCGTTGCATCGTCGTGCCCCCTTAATGAAGACGAGGCTCCTCCACCTCCCCTTCCCCCCACCTCATTGCTATCCTCAAGCACGCTACACCCGCACGAACGGCGGTGGAAAGCTCTACTGCCCTGTTCATCTTCATCCCCAAGAACAGCTGGTGGCTTGCTGGCAGATGGATCTGCGGCGGCTGACATAGGGCGTCATGTGCGATGCAGGCGAATTTTTTGTTTTTCAGACCATTTTTTGAAAAAAATTCACAAATATGCCCCTAGAGGTATGCTTTCATAATCTGGACCCTTAGTTCGGCGCCATCGTTGGTGGCACCGAGCTTACATGTCTCGACGCCATAGATTTTGGCGCCTAGGTCTTGGGCTCGGCGCAGACGTGGCGGTGACTTGACAGGCACCTTGGTGCTGTAGATCTTGGCACTGAGCTTGGCGCCATAGATCTTGGCGCCGAGCTTGGCGCCATGGTTATTGGCGCCAAGCCCTGTCTTACATATGGGCCCTCCCTTCCTTTCTCTCTTCTTGTCTCTCTGTCTACCGCTCCTGAGCCAAGGCGCCACCAGCGCTGCCACACCGCCGCGCGTAGCCCACGCCCGCCCCCGTCCCCACGCTCACGCTGGCCCCCGCCGTGCTAGCCGCCCGCGGCCCTAGCCTGCTCACGCCGCCTCGCCGCGTGGAGTGCCGGCCGTCCGGCGCCTGCCGCGCGCTGCCCCATCCCGGCCCGTGCCACCTCGTCCGTCCTGGCTCGCCTCGTTCGCCGCGCGCATAGGCGCTCCCTATGGTGACCCCGGCCGCGACACGGCCCCTGCTCCTAGCACGCCGCGACCTCGCCATCGATCCCGTCCTCCACATCCTCGTCCTCCTCCGTGCCGGCGTCCACGTCCGCGTCGCATTGTTGCATTGACTTGGACAGGTAAAATTTTTGAATATGCAATGTAGGTACTTAGTTAGCTTGAATTGTAGTGCTATTTTGATTATTTGGTAGTTTCTAGTAAATTTGATGATGTAGGTAGTTGATTTAGTTAGTGAGATAGATATAGTTAGATAACTAGTGACATAGGTGAAAGGATCAAGATGCCCAAGAGGGAGCGTGAATTGGGCTAATTCTAAATTTCTTTGCAATAATTAAACCATACGGTTAGCCCAATTAACCCCTTGTGCCTAGAAAGTGTTTCTAATGTTCTACCACACAAAAAGTCTTGCAACCTAAGTTTCAATCCTACTCTAGCATGGAAATTCTATGAATGTAACGGCAATAATTGAATTGCTCAAAGTAAATGATCAAAGTAAAGAGAGAAGGAGGAACGCGGTGATGTTTTGCCGAGG